TATCATGGTAGAAAAATACACAACATATATTTTAATTATTAAGTGCACACTTTGGAGCATTAGTTCTTCTGTGCTGCAGAATAACTAAAAACAGGCCAGGCGCAGAGGCTTACCTGTAATCCCAGCAACAGCACTTTTTGGGAGGCCAAGGTGGGTGGATCACCTGAGGTCAGGAGTTTGAGATAAGCCTGACCAAAAATGGTGAAACCCCATCTCTCTACTAAAAATACAAAAATTAGCTGGGCGTAGTGGTAGGCGCCTGTACTCGCATCTTCTAGGAGGCTGAGACAGGAGAATCACTTGAACTAGAGGTTGCTGTGAGCCAGGATGTTGCCATTGCACTCCAGCCTGGGCAACAGAGCAAGACTTTGTCTTAAAAAATAAACAATCAATAAAACTAAAAACCATCTTAATTTCAGTTTTCACCCACCTTTACCTTAGGAAGCTAGAAAAAAAACTATAGTGTAGTATATAAACCAGACAGAAAAATAGAACAAAAATTATTGCAGAAATCATTGTAATAGAAATGATAAAATAAACAAAACCAAGGGTTGCTTCATAGGAAAGATAAATAGAATTGATAAACCTCCAGCAGACTAACCACCAAGAAAAACTAGGAGACACAATTTACAAATAATATGACAGAAAGGAAGAATCATTCCTGCTGATCCCATTATAATATCAATGAATAATAAAAAAACACTTAGAATAAATCTATGCTCACAGGTTGACAGCTCAGGTAAAAATAACACATTCATTAAAAGGCAGAAACTGTCTTAATTGCAAGGGGCCAAGATAATCTGGTAAACATATCTATTATAGAAATTGAATCAATAAAGAACTTTAAAAAAAAAAAAAAACATTGGTGGTTTGCTCGTTCCTAACTAATTCTTACAAGGGAAAAGAGAGTCTTATTATATAAACAACTGATTAAAATTCTAAACATTTACCCAGTTCATTTTAAAAATTATGCCCATTGCAAAATCTGCACGAGAATGAGGGCAGCTATATTTCATAATCGCCTGAATTTCTGGAAACAGCTGAGATCTCTTCAGGCGGTAGTGCATCAACCCCACTTTATTTACATGAACCCAGTGGAATATGATTCATTGATAAAAGTCTGATAAGCCGTTAAGCTACAAAAAGATATGAAAATTCTTGCATATTATTGCTAAGTGATATCAGTTAGTCGTAAGTGGCTGCATTCTTTATGATTCAATTCTAAGAATTTTGGGAAAGAAAATCTATAGAGCAGTAAAATAAATGATCTATGGTAGGAGTCAGGGTCCTAAGAAAAGAAGAAAGGGACTAAGAGAGGTGTAGCACTGGTCTTGTTTGAGTGTAGAAACTCTTCTGAGTGATGAATGACATTATGGTTGTCAAAATCCACAGGCTGAACACCACCTGGTAGGCCTTACTGCAAACTCTAGACGTTCATTAAGAAGAAGATATCACTATTGCTTCAGCCCCTATAACAAATGCACCACATTCATATAAGATGTGATCACAAAAAGATACTGAGGGTGAGTATCACAGCAGACTTTCTGTAGTATTTCCATTTTCATGTGAATTTTACAAGTTTCACAGGATGTCCATTTTGTTTGAAAATGCAGCAACATTTATCAGGAAGGATTCCATTTTAGCTAATGTCAACAATCAGCTAAATGTATCTAAACCTTGCATTGAGAGGTTCTTACTATTAAAAATGAACAAACTTGAGTGAAATACATCTTCCACATTTGCAGGACTAGTGATTGACTAGTACTATGCTAGTCAATTTGCACACATGAGGAAATAAAGAAGATGCAGTGTAGCAATGTCAGAGTGGTCTGAAGTGTAGGACACTGAAGAATCTGGAATCCTTGCCTGCAAGAGGTAACTGAATTTCCATGGTACCTGTATGCCAGCTGCCCTTCAGGGGCAAATCAGGATCACTTGCAGCGCATGTCATCTAAATCTGTGTGTGCGTGGATTCGGTTCATCGGGCAACAGCCTGGGAAATGTGTGAGAAAATAAAGACAGCTGTTGATATCTTGCTGCAGAAGACCATAGAGAAATGAGGAATCGTTTATTCACAGTTCAACCCATTTTGTGTGTTCCCGAGAACACTGTGCGCCAACGAGTTGCGCTTTTCTTTTCTAAATAGGAAGTAGGTTAAATCAGAGTCCCCAACCCTGGGCCATCGATAGTGTGTGGCCTGTTAGGAACAGGCTGCACAGTAGTGGGTGAGCAGCCAGCTGGGAGCAAAGCTGCATCTGTATTTACAGCCGCTCCCCATCACTGGCATCAGCGCCTGAAGCACTCACCTCTGTGAGATTAGCCACCGCGTTGGTTAAGCGCAAACTACTGAGCTGTACAGGCCTCAGATCCAGGCTACGCGCTTTGTAGGGAATCTAATGCCTGATGATGGAGTCACTGTCTCCCATCACCCCCACATACAGGACTGTCTAGTTGCAGGAGAACAAGCTCAAGGCTCCCACTGATTCTACATTATGGTAGGTTGCAGAATTACTTCATTAATTATTACAATGTAATAATAATAAAGTGCACAATAAATGTGCAAGAATCATCCTGAAAGCATCCTTCACCTCTCGTCCTCTGAAAAATCATCTTCCGTGAAACTTGTCCCTGGTGTCAAAGGCTGGGGACCACGGTTTCAACGTTTGATCCATTGTCCACTGTCACCATCTGCAGAGATAAGCCTCGTGAATCTGAGTTGGACATTAGGAAGAACTTGCACTGTGGATTGCACTTAAAATGGTGCAGACCGATTATAGGCAAATCCTGTACTGAGATAAGGCAAAGTGGCGGCAGGTAAGAGTGACCAAGGCATGAGAACTGGTGCACAAAGGTCTGGGCTCAAGTCCTTGTTGGAAGCTACATGAACTGAAGATCATAGACCCTTTTGTGCCTCAGTTCCCTCTTCTGAGTGTGGAAATGTTCATAATGGCCTACGTTATGTCCTAAGGCTAAAAGCTGGAGCATTTCTAAGGCTTGTGGTCCTCATGATTTTTGTTTTGGTTTGGTTTGCTTTTCTGTGTGGCTATCTCACTCTATCACCAGATGAGATGCAGTGGCATAATCGCTGACTCACTGCAGCCTCAACCTGCAGAGCTAAACAATCCTCCGCCTCAGCCTCCTGAGAAACTGGGACTACAGGAGCACATCACCACCCCGGCTAATTTTTTGTATTTTGTGTAGGGTGTGGTTTTACTATGTTGACCAGGCTGGTCTTAAACTCCTGGGCTCAAGTGATCCTCCTGCCTCAACCTCTCAAAGTGCTGGGATTACAGGCATGAGCCTCACTGGGTCAATCATATCTTTAAATACAATGGGACATGTCCTGATTATTCTCTTTTGAACAGCAGCTGAAATGGCCACCACCACTGCGTAAAAGCCTGTGACTCCCCTATGTGTGTGTGTTTACATGAAGGACCACCCCAGACTCCACTGTGTTGCTAGCCTGCCTTTCGCCATCACTGAGAACATCTTACAGTGCTGGGCAGTGTTGGGATCTCTGGGCTGTTGTGCCTCCACATGCACACAGATGCTGGAACTCCTGGTGTGGTGGCCGGGTTATACCAGGGCCACGTGAGGACTGCGGTCAACCTTTCACCTTCCTGAGTTCACATTTGCCTTTTCCATTCAGGAGGTGAGGCTTGGGAAATTCATCTCTCCACTATCTCCAATCTGAGGACAGGGGATGTTCAACTAACCTTCCGGTACAGCTGTGGTGAAGGATGAAATGTTGACTGATGTGGGGATGGAATTTTGTTTCTAGAACATTGATCCTTGGGTTGTGCTGCACAGGGAACTATGCTTTCTGAAATGCACACACTCCCAAAGGCATTCACCATTGTCGGAGCTGCGTGGCCAGCCATGGCGATTATAACTGACGGCTAGCGCCTAGGCTCTATACATTTCCACTTTATGCCTCCTCCCTAGATTTACTTTCTTCCTTGTTCTGCTGTCTCATACGCCAGGACAAAATGGCTCTTCGGGTTCTTCATCACCCATTTTCCCACGCGCCGGAAGGTACCAACCGGCGAGCGCAGGCGCAGCTTGCAGCGTCCGGCCGAAGAAACCGAAATCTACCTGGCCACACACCCACACGGGAGGCCACCATCATCGCCCTGGCCCAACCTCCGCCCCTACCGGTCTATATAAGGCATTACACTGCCACCAATAAACGAGACTTGATCAGGATACTGTCTTGTCTCTCCATTTCTCGCGTGTCTCTTGTCCCCCAGTTCCCACTCCCTCTTCTAGGCCTACATTGGCAATCCACTTGGGGCCGGGACACAATCACTCCACACGGACTCTCTCCTCCATACCTCTTCACCCTGATGCACCCTATTCCTATTTAAATGACATCACTGCTTCTGGGAACTACAGTGGATAGCTACAGTTATTGACTCAACTCTTCATTCTTTTTTTACACCAAACCTTCAAACCTCATTTCCAGCAAGAAGCTCAATCAGGGTGGGTCTCCAGCAAATGTGGGGAGAAAGTGTCACCTTTCTCACACTAAGATTGTTCTATGTAAGCGGTGACCCCAGAGTATGCACAGCTTGCCCAAATCGCCCTGAGTCCTCTACAGAGAGAAGGGAAAAACACTGTGAGCGTCAGACCAGGCTGTCCTGTGTGCACAGATCTTTTCTTATAGTGACATTAGAAAACCAATTGGAAGTAGTGCTCGAGGCAGCTGCCCTCGATAAAAACCTAGAAGACACTTGTATAAAGGCACAAGGTTTTGTGCAGATTTTAAAATGAATTTTGGTTGCCAAGTCTCCACTATTTTCAAGAACACATTTCTCCTGAGATACACTGACATACACATTTATTACATTGACATACTTAACTGTTATAATTTCTGGGAAGCCGGATTTGACATTTAGGAGATTGAGAGCCTGGGAAATTCATCTCTGCACCGTCTCTCTGAGGATGAGGACATAAAATTTACCTTCGGGTACAGCTGTGGGGGAGGATGAATGCGTTACTGTATGTGAAGTGCGCAGTGGTGATGCAACTTTATTTTTAGGGAAATTGCTCCTTTGATCGTGCTCCGCACAGGGAAACATGCTTTTTGAGTAAATGCCCACACACTCCCAAAGACATTCCCAATCGCTCCACACGACTCTCTCCTCCATACCTCCCCACCCTGATGCACAACACACTATTCCATCTACATGACAATCCTGCCTCCCCAGACTCGAATGGATGGTCACAGTTCTTTACTGGACTCAGTGGTTTTTATTCCAAACTGTCCAAATCTCATTTCTGTCAGGAAGTTCAAACCAAAGTGGTTCTCCAGCAAAAGCAGACTAGGAAGTGCCACCTTTTGCAACCCTGAAGATCTTTCCTTAGAAAGGACTGATTCCAGAACACACACCTTTCTCCTCGGCCTGTTCCTCTGCCTGCATTGAGAGAAAGAAAAACATGAGCTTCAGACCATCCGAGTCTCGAGTGTGCAGGTCTTTTCTTCACTTGGTGACATTAGGAAGCCAGATGGAAAACAGTGCTCAAATCAAAGGAACACAGAAGAAGAACAGGACAAACTGACTCATGCTAAAGTTTCTCCTGGAGGACGTGTCCTCTAACTCCACGCTGCTTGGCGATTCAGTGAAGGAGAATCGCCAAGGAGAGAATCAAGCTGCTGAGAAAAAAGCTCACTGCCGCTCAGGGCGTGGCTGACGCTGTCATTTTCTCCCACCGTCTTAAATCAACCCTCAATGGGGAACAGACTCACTCAGAATTCCCCCCACCAAGGACACTGTGTAAGTCACCTATGAGATATAGGGTCAGATTCTTATGTCTTATTTTAACTCAAGAAGATAAAGCTAAGAAAGTAACTTTTTCCCAGACAAAACCAGGTGGCCTGACCTGCACTTCTGTGGAATCTTCATCTCTGCTTTTCCTGCAGAGTTTCTTCAAGAGAGAATCTCTTGCCACTAGGAGGACACAGTGACCGTCAGCAGGTGCAGGGCAGAGCAGAGGCAGGCTTTCCAGCCCCGGCCGCCTCATCCATGCGAAACAGCCCATCTCGAACAGGGCACCACACCCAGGGCAGGCTGTGTCCCTGCAACCTCTCAGGGCTCCCACCTCCCTCATCTGACCCGAGCTCACTTGCCCTCTATTCCTCGTCCTTCCAGCGTCATTTTCTCCCCAGAATCCACCTGTGGTGCTGCTGTGGCTATCATCCTCTAGGGGTTTACATTTTCTTTTCTTTTTTTTTTTTTTTTGAGACAGAGTCTCGCTCTGTCGCCAGGCTGGAGTGCAGTGGTGTGATCTCGGCTCACTGCAAGCTCCGCCGCCTCCCGGGTTCATGCCATTCTCCTGCCTCAGCCTCCCAGCTGGGACTACAGGTGCCCGCCACCACGCCCGGCTAGTTTTTAAATTTTTAGTAGAGACGGAGTTTCACCGTGTTTGCCAGGATGGTCTCCATCTCCTGACCTCATGATCGGCCCGCCTCGGCCTTCCAAAGTGCTGGGATTACAGGTGTGAGCCACCATGCCCAGCCCCTCCTAGAGGTTTCCTACTTGATAAGCAGCAGCCTTTCTTTAAAGAGAGGAATTAATTTGAACCAAAACCTTCTATTTTTTCACTATCCATTTGTTTTTAGGACAATGAAACAAAGCTTTGAAGATACTCAGTTTTCTTCCCATTTAAAGATAACTCCTATTTAGCACCTGCTATCTGTCCTATACTCTCTCTTTTCCATACGTGTGTGTGTCCGTGGAGTCTGTTGCTGCTCACATTTGCACTGGCTTTGACACTGGGACAGCCTGTCATGCGGGCAGCATGTGGGGCAATGACCCTCTCCTAACATCCAGCTGTTTGAGATTCCAGCTTGAGGAAGAGGGCGCCAGGCTGACACCCAAGTTGTTTTTGACGTCATATTGGGCGCTACTTCTTGGGTGGCTGTGTGTCCACTAAGCTGGAGCATTTCTAAGGCTTGTGATCATCGTGATTTTTGTTTGTTTTTGTGGCAGGATCTCACTCTGTTTCCAAGATGGGATGCAGTGGCGCAATCATCGCTCACTAAAGATCAACCTGTCCAGCCAAAGCAATCCTCCGGCCTCAGCCTCCTGAGAAACTGGGACTATAGGAGCACGTCATCACGCCTGGCTAATTTTTGTATTTTTTGTAGAGATGTGGTTTTACTATGTTGCCCAGGCTGATCTTAAACTCCTGGGCTCAAGAGATCCTCCTGCCTCAACCTCTCAAAGTGCTGGGATTACAGGCATGAGCCTCCCCATTGGGTCCAATCATATCTTTAAATACAATAGGACATATCCTGATTATTCTCTCTGCTTTTGAACAGCAGCTGAGAAATGACACCACCACACAGTCAAAGCCTGGGACTCCCCTATGTGTGTTTCACATGAAGGACCACCAAACTCACTGTGCTAGCCTTGCCTTTCGCCATCACTGAGAACATCTTACAGTGCTGGGCAGCGTTGGAATCTCTAGGCTGTCGTGCCTCCACATGCACACACAGATGCTGGAACTCCCTGGTGTGGTGACGAGTTATACCAGGGCCACGTGAGGACTGCGGAGTAGCGGCCCATCACGTCCACCTTTCACCCCTTCCTGAGTTCACATTTGCCTTTTCCATTCAGGAAATTGAGAGCTTGGGAAATTCACCTCTCCACCGTGCAATCTGAGGCCAGGGGAATGTTCAACTAACCTTCGGTACAGCTGTATTGAAGGATGAAGTGTTGATGTGAGGGATGGAATGTTGTTTCTAGAACAGTGATCAGCAGGTCATTTGCTTTGCACAGAGAACATGCTTTCTAGAGAAATGCACACACACTCCCAAAGGCATTCACCATCACTCCACCACGGACTCTCTCCTCCATACCTCTCCACCCGATGCACCCTATTCTATTTAAATGACATCACTGCTTCATAAGACTTCAGTGGATGGCCACAGTTGCCTGGATCAACTCTTCATTTACTTACTACGGCTTCTGTCCAAACCTCATTTCCAGCAGGAAGCTCAAACCAGCAAAAGCAGGGAGGAAAGCGTGACCTTTCTCAACACTAAGATATTTTCTTAGCAAATGGGTGACCCACAGAGTACATGACACTTGATTGAAACGTTGAGTCCGTCTGCTGCAGGAGAAAGGAAAACATCGTGAGCGTCAGACCAGGCTTTATCCTGTGTGCACAGGTCTTTTCTTCAGTTATGATATTAGAAAACCAGATGAGAAATAGTGTTTGATGCAATGGCCCCAAAATAAAGCCTAGAAGACACTTGTGGAAGAGGCAAGGCCTTTGAAGTTTATCTAGACTTTCCTTATGATTTTTGTTGCAAAATTCACCGTTGTTTTCAAACAGTATTATTTACTTCTCCTGAGAAAAGGTTACCTGCCGTTTGCAGCTGAAGGTGTCATCTATGCGTGCCATCATGACCTAGTTGGTCATGAACTCTCACCTTTCCCACCAAGAGTTCTGTAACTTATCTATAATGTCCATGGTAAGGTTTGCATATCTTAATTCAAGTAGAACAGGAAAACAAAGAGAAATACAATTCCCAACTTAGTCAAAGAAAGCTCTTACTTTGAAAATGGTCACGACTGTCTGTGGAGAGCTCTCTAAGCTCTGCAAACTTGAAACCTAGGAAACATGAAGTCACTGTCGGCGCATGGGAGCTGCTGAAGGAAGAATCCTCAGGCAGCCTTGGGTGCTGTGGACGAGGAGCTGGCATTGTAGCTGGAAAGGTGGGTTAACAGCAGGCTGAGCTGCTGCTGGCGTCCTCCTTAGTGAAGAAGGCAAGGAGACCATCAGAAAAACCTAGGGAGACCAGAGCGGATTCTCCAGCTGAGCCACCCTCATCGGTGTGAGCTGATCTCAAACAGGGTACAACATACAATGTGGCTGTGTTTCATAGCATCTCAGGGAGCCTTCTATTCAAACCTGAGCTAAGTTGTACTTTTTCAGTTTTTTCTTTTCTTTTTTTTTTTTTTTGAGATGAGGTCTCGTATCACCCAGGCTGGAGTGCTGTGGTTCAATCACGACTCACTGCAGCCTCGACCTTCCAAGCCCAGGTGGATCCTTTGTCTCAGCCTCCAAGTCACTAAAACTACAGATGCCCCCATCATACCCAGCTGATTTCTTGTATTTTTTGTAGAAATGGGGTTTTGCCAGGTTGCCCAGGCTGGTCTCGAACTCTAGGCTCAAGCAATACACCCGCCATGGCCTCAAAATACTGGGATTACAGGCGTGAGCCACAGGTCTGGCCTGTGCTGCCTTCCTGATCCCTTCTGGGGACACTTACTCCCAGGACCCATCCACACCTGTGTGGATCCCCCCTCTATAAGATTCTACCCATCATAAATCAGCCCTTCTTTCAAAATATGTAGTTCATTCAAAATATTCTATAACATTTATCTGTCAAACATCTGTTTTAAGGAAAATTAAAGATTTGAAAATACACTTATCCTACCATTTAAACATGACATGTCACATGTGCTATCTGTCCTTCAGTCTCCCTTTTCAACACTAACATGCGTCAGGAGTCTGCTACTGCTCAAGGCTCCCTCTGGCTCTGACACTAGGAGAGCCCATCCCACCAAACAGTAAACAGTGAGGCGCTGACCCTCTCCATCCCAGCTGTGCAGGAATTCTAGCAGGTGAGAGGGGCGCAGGTTAACGCCCAGGATTGTTCCTTGAGCTCCTGTTTGATGCTGTGCCGCGGGTTGTGTGCTAGTGAACTGGAGTATTTTTAAGGCTTGTGGTTACTATGTTCTTAAATACAACAGAATGTGTCTGATTATTCTGCTCTTGACCGGGGGCTGAGAGATAGACTCATCATGCCGCCAAAACCCTCTGAGTTCTTCAAGTGTGCCTCACATTAATGACCACACCAGATTCCACTGCCGTCATAGCTATTCCTACCCGGTGTTAGGTGACCACTAAGACCGTCCTGTAATGACAGTGCTTACAGATCTCTGCAGGCTAGCACACCTCCACATGCACACATAGGAGCTGGAACTCCTTGGCATGGTGATGAGTTATGCCAGGACTGTCTGATAAACGCACAATAGTAGCCCATCGCATCCGTGTTTCACCCATGCTTGAGTTCACATTTGTCTCTTCCATTTTGGAGACCAAGAACTTGGGAAATTCATACACCATCTCTATCTGAGGAGTGAGGACAAGGGAAACTTCCACCCTTCAAGTACAGCTACCATGGAGGAATAAAGGGTTGATTGATGTGACGTGTACAGCTGGTGATGAATGTTGTGTTTAGAACAGTGATCTTTGTGTTGTGCTTTGCACATAGGAACATGCTTTCTGGGGAAATGCACACACACTCCCAAAGACATTTGTGATCCCTTTACACAGACTCTGTCCTCCACACCTCCCAACCCTGATACACACCACCCTCTTCCCATCTAAATGACACCACTGGCCAGGACTGAACTGCTTTTGATGCTCACGGTTCTTTACTAGACTCTTAATGTTTTCCTAGCAAACTGTCCAAACCTCATTTCTGGCAGGCAGCGCAATCCAAAGTGGCTCTCCAAAAGCAGGCTAGTAAGTTTCACCTTTCTCAGCAATGAAAACTTTTTCTTAGGAAGGGGTGCGTCCAGAATACTCGTCTTTTCCCGTGAGCTCCTAGTCCTCTATTACTGCATATAGAAGAAAACACTGTGAGCATCGGCCATGCTGTGTCCTGTGTGCACAGGTCTTTGTTTACATGATGACATTAGAAACCCAGACAGGAAATAGTGCCTGAGGCAATGGCCCCAAAATAAAGCCTAGAAGACATTATGGAAAGGCACAAGAGTTTTGTGTAAGATTTTCAAAATGATTTTGGTTGCAAAGTCACCGTCATTTTCAGAATGAATTTCTCCAGGAGAAAATACTTACCTCTGCCATGCAGTTTGTCTAAAAGCTGTCACCTATGGGTGCCATCTTGAATCAGCTCTTAGTTATTGTGGACTCTTACTTACATTGCCCTGAGAAATTCTGCAATTCATCTATAATTTCCATGGTGAAGTTGCATATCATAATTCAAATGAAATGGAAAGAAACCAAGAGAAATAAAATTCCCATCTC